CGCTACTCGCGACGTTATCCAGCTATAGCTTAAGATAATTAGTCTAAAAGCTTACAAGTGCTTGTGTACCTTAAGTATCATATAAAACGTAAGCAAATCATTCGTGCTAGCGCGAATATACTTTTTAATAAAAGCAAGCAAGTAAAAGGATTTATAAATTTCTTTTAGCTGTTTACCAAGTGATATAGGTATGAAATCTAGTAAAGTATACGCTTTCGTATTACTTATGTAGATTGCAACTTGTTCTTTATACTAATCAAGCGAAATAACGCTTAAGCTTAGATTTTTATTAGTTATTTTAACGAAGTAATTCTTCTCGGTTAAATACTGCTTTAAATCTCGCAAATTAAAGTTATAGCGTAGAGTTAACTTCGGCAAAGCATTAATTTATTTATATAATACATGTTTGATTTCTATTAATCCACTTTTTAATTTATTAAAAGCTTTGGATGGATTTTAATCGTTTTGCTTAATATAAAACTAAGGTATATAACTTAAGTTTACTAGTCGATCTTTAAAGTAGAATTTAGTTTTAATAGATCGTTAAAGCTTTAGCTAAGCTTCGCGTATTAGTTATGGTCTTATTTTATCGTGTAAAATAAATTTCCCGTTTAATGATAGCGTTTGCCGTATATTTTCTAAAAGAAATACGTTAAGCCTTTAAAATATATTTAATTGAGTACTTGAAATACTATTAAGATATTTAGGTTTACTATAAAGTAGTAACCATTAAGCTTTAATATCTACGAGTTTTTTAAACTACGTACGAAGGTAAAAAGACAAATTATTCAATCGAAATTGTTTTAATTAAGAAGCTAGCTGATTATCTAATCCCGCTAATTCTTCTTTGGTTTCTTCTTCCCACTCTTATTTCTTTTTCTTCTCTTCTTTAAGTTTAGTTAAGGTTTTTTTGGTTTAAGGCCACCCTTGGCCTTGTTCGGCTTAAGGTTGGACTTTTTAGCACTTATTTCTTAAATTAGTTAAGACTTTAGTGCGGAGACTAAAGGACTTACCTTTCGGAGGTGCGCTTTTCGCTTTACCAGACTTATTTAAAGCCTTGGCAACCGCGAGCTCAATTACGCGAGTGATATCGTTTGCTTTATAATTGCTTATATAGGTATCCGTATCCTTTTTAAGCTTTAGCTTACTTAGCTTTACAGCAAGCTCATTTTAATGTTTCATCAGTCCGAGGCTAAAAGACCTTCGGAGCTAAATCACACTTAATTGCGAGCACGTACGAATTTCATCTTTAAGATAATCGTTCGATTTGTTTGCCGTACTTGAAAAAAAAAGGCCGAGTGACTCGGTGACTTTCTTAATCGTGAGTTCTTTTGCAGTCTTAGCTGCTTTATCGTCGGCCAAAGATTCGAAATGCTTAAGCTCTTGTTCTTTGACCGCGATATACTCTTTATGTACTTTAAGACGGTATTCAAAAGTGGCGGTAATAAGACTTGCTTTTTATACGTTCCACGAGTCTATTCCTTTAAACTTTTTAAACACTTAAACTGCTAGCACTTTTAGCGCACCTTAAATAGAAAAGGGAAGGGTGTAGATAGAAAGGTGTTCTTTAAGCGAACTAATAGCGTGAAAGCAGTGTGAGACTTTTACGCCGATATCGAATTACTCTTTGAAGATCAAGCGAAAGTAAGCTTAAAAAAGGCGGGGAACGCAGGCTGCAAGCTCGTCGATAAAGCCCGCAACCGCTACGTTGTCGGCGTTGTATTTAGCGGTAGGTGCTTAGATAAAGACAACGGTGGAAAGTATAGTTGGATTAAGTGCAAATAATTAATGAAAGGTTAAGGTTAAAGAGTAATTGGAAGGCAAATTGAAATCAAGAAGAGTAAAAGTCCGATAGTCAGTTGCAAAGAATCAAACTATTTCGCTTGGCTTTTTAAAGACTCGTACGGCGGCTAAGTATTATATACTTAAGCTTCGGCGTAAGCTCGGTATAAGCCGAGTAAGTCATACAATCAATACCTTTGCTTACTCGTAAACTTTAGTCTTCGATCTAAAGGATTTATGCAAGTGTATCAATATCGAAGGATTCGAGTTATATTAATCGCGCAAACTTAGACTAGACGCGCGGCTTTCTAAGGTTTCGTATATTTAATACGACGATAAGCGTGCATATATGCGCGCATGCGCGCATATATGCGTGCATAAAGTCTATTAAATACTTCGCTAAAGTAAGCTGTGCACTTAATTAGCAAAGTGCAAAACTTTAACTTTAACGTTCCGAGTAAACTTTGCAGCGTAGCCGGATACGATAAGCGAAAGTATATACGCGATGCTATTAAGTTTACGGTTTATATATATGACTTGATATCCTTTTTTATTATATATTATAGTAGTATGCAAAGGGCGAGATTTTTAATTGTCGCTTTTTATTCTTTTTATCGAAAGTATTGCGCCGTTTCTATCGTAAGCTCTACTTCTTTTTCTTAGGTCAGTTTTCTTCTTGTATTAAGTGACTCTACGGTTCTGCTTAGTAGTGCTAACGGGACCCTTTAAAATAGGTTCTTTCCGAGGGTCTCCGAAGAGGTCCCGTAAATACTTCGAAAGGTATTCGCTTTTTCGTAAGTCCTCTTCTCTTAAGGTAGTCTCCGTAAGCAACGACCACGTGAAGTTTCCAAGGCTGATTAATGTAATAAAGTAAGCTTAAACCAGGGTCCGGGTTAAGGTTTTAGTTAAGGTTAGGGTTGGGTTAGGTTTAAGGTTAAGGGTTAAGGTAAGGAAAAGGTTTGAACTTCTCACTTTTTTAAAGCCTCTTAACCTTTTTTGTTCTTATCTTGTATTCTTGTCTCGATAGATCGTATTGGAATCTATTAAAATATAATATGGCCGGCGTTTATTAGTTAGCGAGGGCGTTATTATTACCCTCGCTACTCGTTACCGACGTTACCGTACCAACGCTTTTCAGCGCTACGAGCGTCGAGCCGCTTGTTACTTAAGCAGTATACAAACGCGCTTCGCTTTTAACAAGAGTAGACAGCTCTCGTACCTCTTTTCAAAGGTTTAAATTAAAGTTTAATAATAAAAGAAATCGCTAAGAATACGGCGTTTCGAGTATTATATTCCTTTTTTCGGCTTATACGCATTTAATAGCGTTAAATTATAGAGATTGAAAGAGTCGTATAAACTTCTCTTTCGCTTTAGCGAAGTTACGATGTTATTTAAATCATCGAAATCCTCGGTAGACATTTTTCGCAAGATGTCTTTTAGCGGACTAATACGTATATATTCTTATATTAGATTATACTCGGAGGAGAGTATTAGCTTAAGGATAAGCCGCTCGATTATCTTAAGGGTCTCGCTAAATCATTCATTCAGCATCTTTTAAGGATAACCTCGTTTTAAAAGATTCAAATACAATTTGCGTTCGCACGCTTTCGCTTCTTTAAGTCGCGTGCAAATTGTATTATATCTTACTCGCTCGGCCTTAACGAAGGCTCTCTTGGTTGCAAGAAGATGAGCACTGGAAAAGGGAATATACATATGACGATTGAGTGCTTTCTCGTAGATTCTCGTGACTAATCGATCTTTTACGATTAATAGCTCAACGTCTAGAAAGTGAGCTAAATGTTTAGAATATTCTTACGTAATATCTAAGCTTAGTAGCTTCTATTCGCTTAACCAAGTGTTCAGCTTGCTTTCTATGCTTTTATAGATAAGACAGACATCGTTAATAAAGCGACCGTAGAATTTAATCTTATTATTGCGATATTTAAAACGACTTTTTTCGTATAATCCGTAATAAAAGTTTGCTAAAATCGGGGCGCAAGCGACGCTTATAACTAAACCATTGCGTTGTTAGTAGATCTTATCTTAGTATTTAAAGAAGTTATTTAATAAGACGAATTCCATCATCTTCGTTAAATCACTCTTTCGAATTCCTTTCGACGCTCGTTTGATTATTGTTTTAATCGAATCGATAGCTCGAAAAAGGTTTATATTAGTATACATAGCTGTAACGTCACTCGTTACAATCTAGCACTCGTCGAAAGAATCGACTTTTTTAATCTTTGTTAAGAAATCTTGTATCGAAGTCAAAACGCTTAGAAAGTTAAGAAGTTTTAGTTATAAAGCGTAATCTATTACTTCCGTTATCCGCGACGTTATCCAGCTATAGCTTAGGATGATTAGTTTAAAGGCTTACGGGTGCTTGTGTACCTTAAGTATCACATAGAACGTAGGCAAATCATTCGTGCTAGCGCGAATATACTTCTTAATAAAAGCAAGCAAGTAAAAGGATTTATAGATTTCCTTTAGCTGTTTATTAAGTGATATAGGTATGAAATCTAATAGAGTATACGCTTTCGTATTACTTATATAGATTGCAACTTGTTCTTTATATTAATCAAGCGAAATAACGCTTAAGCTTAGATTTTTATTAGTTATTTTAACGAAGTAATTCTTCTCGGTTAAATACTGTTTTAAATCTCGCAAATTAAAGTTATAGCGTAGAGTTAACTTCGGCAAAGCATTAATCTGTTTATATAGTGCATGTTTGATTTCTATTAATCTACTCTTTAATTCATCAGAAGCTTTAAGTGGATCTTAATCGTTTTGCTTAATATAAAACTAAAGTATATAACTTAGGTTTACTGGTCGATCTTTAAAGTAGAATTTAGTTCTAATAGATCGTTAAAGCTTTAGCTAAGCTTCGCGTATCAGTTGTAGTCTCATTTTATCGTATAAAATAAATTTCTCGTTTAGTAATAGCGTTTACCGTATATTTTTTAAAAGAAATACGTTAGGCCTTTGAAATATATTTGATTGAATACTTGAAATACTATCAAGATATTCAAGTTTATTATAAAGTAGTAACTATTAAGCTCTAATATTTACGGGTTTTTCAAACTACGTGCGAAAGTAAAAAAACAAATCATTCAACCGAAATTGTTTTGATTAAAAAGTTAGCTGATTATCTAATCCCGCTAATTCTTCTTTAGTTTCTTTTTCTTACTTTTATTTCCTTTTCTTCCTTTCCTTGAGTTTAGTTAAGGTTTCTTTGGTTTAAGGCTACCCTTAGCCTTGTTCGGCTTAGGGTTGGACTTTTTAGCACTTATCTCTTAAATTAGTTAAGACCTTAGTGCGGAGACTAAAAGACTTACCTTTCGGAGGTGCGCTTTTCGCTTTATTAGACTTGTTTAAAGCCTTGGCAACCGCGAGCTTAATTACGCGAATGATATCGTTTACTTTATAATTGCTTATGTAAGTATCCGTATCCTCTTTAAGCTTCAGCTTACTCAGCTTTACGGCAAGCTTATTTTAATGTTTCATTAGTCCGAAGTTAAAAGACTTTCGGAGCTAAGTCACACTTAATTGCGAGCACGTACGAGTCTTATCTTTAAGATAATCGTTCGATTTGTTTACCGTACTTGAAAAAGAAGAGCCGAGTGACTCGGTGACCTTTTTAATCGTAAGTTCTTTTGCAGTCTCAGCTGCTTTATCGTCGGCTAAAGATTCGAGATGCTTGAGCTCTTGTTCTTTAACCGCGATACACTTTTTATATACTTTAAGACGGTATTCAAAAGTAGCGGTAATAAGACTTGCTTCTTATGCGTTCTACGAGTCTGTTCCTTTGAACTCTTTAAACACTTGAACTGCTAGCACCTTTAGCGCACCTTGAATGGAAAAGGGAAGGGTGTGGACAAAAAGATGTTCTTTAAGCGAACTAATAGCGTGAGAGCAGTGTAAGACTTTCACGCCGATATCGAACCACTCTTTGAAGATCAAGCGAAAGTGGGCTTGAAAAGGGCGGGGAACGCAGGCTGCAAGCTCGTCGATAGAGCCCGCTTAGGGTTAGGGTTAGGGTTAGGGAGTAGCTGGAAGGCAGATTGAAATCAAGAAGAGTAGGAGTCCGACAGTCAGTTGTAAAGAATCAAACTGTTTCGCCTGGCTCTTCAGGAACTCGTACGGCGGCTAGGTATTATATACTTAGGCTTCGGCGTAAGCTCGGTATAAGCCGAGTAAGTCATACAATCAATACCCTTGCTCATCCGTAAACCTTAGTCCTCGATCTGAAGGATTTATGCAAGTGTATTAATATCGAAGGATTCGAGTTATATTAATCGCGCAAACTTAAACTAGACGCGCGGCTTTCTAAGGTTTCGTATATTTAATACGACGATAAGCGTGCATATATGCGCGCATGCGCGCATATATGCGTGCATAAAGTCTATTAAATACCTCGCTAAGGTAAGCTGTGCACCTAGTTAGCAAAATGCAAAACTTTAACTTTAACGTTCCGAGTAAACCTTGCGGCGTAGCCGGATACGATAAGCGAAAGTATATACGCGATGCTACTAAGTCTACGATCTATATATATGACCCGATATCCCTTTCTATTGTATACTATAGCAGTATGCAAAGGGCGAGATTCTTGATTGTCGCTTCTCATTCCTTTTATCGAAGGTATTACGCCGTTTCTATCGTAAGCTCCACTTTTTTTTCTTAGGTCAGTTTTCTCCTTGTATTGAGTGACTCTACGGTTCTGCTTGATAGTGCTAACGGGACCCCTTAAAATAGGTTCTTTCCGAGGGTCTCCGAAGAGGTCCCGCAAATACCCCGAAAGGTATTCGCTTTCTCGTAAGTCCCCTTCTCTCAAGGTAGTCTCCGTAAGCAACGACTTAGGGTTAGGGTTAGGGTTTAGGGTTAGGGTTAGGGTTAGGGTTAGGGAGTAGCTGGAAGGCAGATTGAAATCAAGAAGAGTAGGAGTCCGACAGTCAGTTGCAAAGAATCAAACTGTTTCGCCTGGCTCTTCAGGGACTCGTACGGCGGCTAAGTATTATATACCTAGGCTTCGGCGTAAGCTCGGTATAAGCCGAGTAAGTCATACAATCAATACCCTTGCTCACCCGTAAACCTTAGTCCTCGATCTAAGGGATTTATGCAAGTGTATTAATATCGAAGGATTCGAGTTATATTAATCGCGCAAACTTAAACTAGACGCGCGGCCTTCTAAGGTTTCGTATATTTAATACGACGATAAGCGTACATATATGCGCGCATGCGCGCATATATGCGTGCATAAAGTCTATTAAATACCTCGCTAAAGTAGGCTGTGCACCTAGTTAGCAAAGTGTAAAACTTTAACTTTAACGTTCCGAGTAAACTTTGCGGCGTAGCCGGATACGATAAGCGAAAGTATATACGCGATGCTACTAAGTCTACGGTCTATATATATGACCCGATATCCCTTTCTATTGTATACTATAGCAGTATGCAAAGGGCGAGATTCTTGATTGTCGCTTCTTATTCTTTTCATCGAAGGTATTGCGCCGTTTCTATCGTAAGCTCCACTTCTTTTTCCTAGGTCAGTTTTCCTCTTGTATTGAGTGACTCCACGGTTCTGCTTAGTAGTGCTAACGGGACCCCTTAAAATAGGTTCTTTCCGAGGGTCTCCGAAGAGGTCCCGCAAATACCCCGAAAGGTATTCGCTTTCTCGTAAGTCCCCTTCTCTCAAGGTAGTCTCCGTAAGCAACGACCACGTGAAGTTTCCAAGGCTGACTAATGTAGTAGGGTAAGCTCTTAGGGTTAGGGTTAGGGTTAGGGAGTAGCTGGAAGGCAGATTGAAATCAAGAAGAGTAGGAGTCCGACAGTCAGTTGCAAAGAATCAAACTGTTTCGCCTGGCTCTTTAGAAACTCGTACGGCGGCTAAGTATTATATACTTAGGCTTCGGCGTAAGCTCGGTATAGGCCGAGTAAGTTATACAATCAATACCTTTGCTCACCCGTAAACCTTAGTCCTCGATCTGAAGGATTTATATAGGTGTATCAATATCGAAAGATTCGAGTTATATTAATCGCGCAAACTTAAACTAAACGCGCGGCCTTCTAAGGTTTCGTATATTTAATACGACGATAAGCGCGCATATATACGCGCATGCGCGCATATATGCGTGCATAAAGTCTATTAAATACCTCGCCAAGGTAAGCTGTGTACCTAGTTAGCAAAGTGCAAAACTTTAACTTTGACGTTCCGAGTAAACTTTGCGGCGTAGCCGGATACGATAAGCGAAAGTATATACGCGATGCTACTAAGTCTACGGTCTATATATATGACCCGATATCCTTTTCTATTGTATACTATAGCAGTATGCAAGGGGCGAGATTCTTGATTATCGCTTCTTATTCTTTTTATCGAAGGTATTGCGCCGTTTTTATCGTGAGCTCTACTTCTTTTCTTAGGTCAGTTTTCCCTTTGTATTGAGTGACTTTACGGTTCTGCTTGGTAGTGCTAACGGGATCCTTTAAAATAAGTTCTTTCCGAGGGTTTCCGAAGAGGTCCCGTAAATACCTCGAAAGGTATTCGCTTTTTCGTAAGTCCCTTTTTCTTAAGGTAGTCTCCGTAAGCAACGACCACGTGAAGTTTCCAAGGCTGACTAATGTAGTAGGGTAAGCTCAAACCAAGGTCCGGGTTAGGGGTCTGGTTAAGGTCAAGGTTAAGTTAAGTTTAAGGTTAAGGGTTAAAGTGGGGAAAAGGTTTGAACTTCTCACTTTCTTAGAGCCCCTTAACCTTTTTTGTTCTTATTTTGTATTCTTGTCTCGATAGATCGTATTGGAATCTATTAAAATATAATATGGCCGGCGTCTATTAGTTAGCGAGGGCGTTATTATTACCTTCGCTACTCGTTATCGACGTTACCGCACCAACGCTTTTTAGCGCTACGGGCGTCGAGCCGCTTGTTACTTAAGCAGTATACAAACGCGCTTCGCTTTTAACAAGAGTAGATAGCTCTCGTACTTTTTTTCAAAAGTTTAAACTAAAGTTTAATAATAAAAGAAATCGCTAAGAATACGGCGTTTCGAGTATTATATTCCTTCTTTCGGCTTATACGCATTTAATAGCGTTAAATTATAGAGATTAAAAGAGTCGTATAGACTTCTCTTTCGCTTTAGCGAAGTTACGATGTTATTTAAATCATCGAAATCTTCGGTAGATATTTTTCGCAAGATGTCTTTTAACGGGCTAATACGTATATATTCTTATACTAGATTATACTCGGAAAAGAGTATTAGCTTAGGGATAGGCCGCTCGATCACTTTAAGGGTCTCGCTAAACTATTCATTTAGCATCTTTTAAGGATAACCTCGTCTTAAAAGATTCAAATACAATTTGCGTTCGCACGCTTTTGCTTTTTTAAGTCGTGTGCAAATTGTATTATATCTTATTCGCTCGGCCTTAACGAAGGCTTTCTTGGTTGCAAAAGGGTGAGCACTAAAGAAGGGAATATACATATAACGATTGAGTGCTTTCTCGTAGATTCTCGTAACAAATCGATCTTTTACGATTAATAGCTTAACGTTTAAAAAATAAGCTAAATGTTTAGAATATTCTTACGTAATATCTAAGCCTAGTAGCTTCCATTCGCTTAACCAAGTGTTCAGCTCGCTTTTTATGCTTTTATAGATAAGACAGACATCGTTAATAAAGCGACCGTAGAATTTAATCTTATTGTTGCGATATTTGAAACGACCTTTTTCGTATAATCCGCAATAAAGGTTTATTAAAATCGAGGCGCAAGCGACGCTTATAGCTAAACCATTGCGTTGTTAGTAGATCTTATCTTAGCATTTAAAAAAGTTATTTAATAAGACGAATTCTATCATCTTCGTTAAATCACTCTTTCGAATTCTTTTCGACGCTCGTCCGATTATTGTTTTAATCGAATCGATAGCCCGAAAAGGGTCTATATTAGTATATATAGCTATAACGTCACTCGTTATAATCCAGCACCCGTCGAAAGAATCGACCTTTTTAATCTTTGTTAAGAAATCTTGTGTCGAAGTTAAAACGCTTAGAAAGTTAAGAAGTTCTAGTTATAAAGCGTAATTTATTACTTCCGCTATCCGCGACGTTATTTAGCTATAGCTTAAGATGATTAGTCTAAAGGCCTACGGGTGCTTATGTACCTTAAGTATCATATAGAACGTAAGCAAATCATTCGTGCTAGCGCGAATATACTTTTTAATAGAAGCAAGCAAGTAAAAGGATTTATAAATTTCCTTTAGCTGTTTATTAAGTGATATAAGTATAAAATCTAGTAGAGTATACGCTTTCGTATTACTTATGTAGATTGCAACTTGTTCCTTATATTAATCAAGCGAAATAACGCTTAAGCTTAGATTTTTATCAGTTATTTTAACGAAGTAATTCTTCTCGGTTAAATATTGCTTTAAATCTCGCAAATTAAAGTTATAGCGTAGAGTTAACTTCAGCAAAGCATTGATCTGTTTATACAATGTATGTTTGATTTCTATTAACCTACTTTCTAATTCATTAGAAGCTTTAGATAGATCTTAATCGTTTTGCTTGATATAGAATTGAGGTATATAACTTAGGTTTATTAGTCGATCTTTAAAGTAGAATTTAATTCTAATAAATCGTTGGAGCTTTAGCCAAGCTTCGCGTATTAGTTATAGTCTTATTTTATCGTATAAAATAAATTTCTCGTTTAGTGATAGCGTTTGCCGTATATTTTCTAAGAGAAATACGTTAGGCTTTTAAAATATATCTGATTGAGTACTTGAAATACTATCAAGATATTCAAGTTTACTATAAAGTAGTAACTATTAGGCTTTAATATCTACGGGTTTTTCAAATTACGTGCGAAGATAAGAAAACAAATCATTCAACCGAAATTGTTTTGATTAAAAAGCTAGCTGATTATCTAATCCTGCTAATTCTTCTTTAGTTTCTTCTTCTTATTCTTATTTCCTTTTCTTCCTTTCCTTAAGTTTGGTTAGGGTTTCTTTGGTTTAAGGCTACCCTTGGCTTTGTTCGGCTTAAGGTTGGACTTTTTAGCACTTATCTCTTGAATTAATTAAGACTTTAATGCGGAGACTAAAGGACTTACTTTTCGGAAGTGCGCTTTTCGCTTTACTAGACTTGTTTAAAGCTTTGGCAACCGCGAGCTCAATTACGCGAGTGATATCGTTTGCTTTATAATTGCTTATGTAAGTATCCGTATCTTTTTTAAGCTTCAGCTTACTTAGCTTTACGGCAAGCTTATTTTGATGTTTCATTAGTCCGAAGCTAAAAGACTTTCGGAGCTAAGTCACACTTAATTGCGAGCACGTACGAGTCTCATCTTTAAGATAATCGTTCGATTTGTTTGCCGTACTTGAAAAAGAAAGGCCGAGTGATTCGGTGACCTTTTTAATCGTAAGTTCTTTTGCAATCTTAGCTGCTTTATCGTCGGCCAAGGATTCGAGATGCTTAAGCTTTTGTTCCTTAACCGCGATACACTTTTTATGTACCTTAAGACGGTATTTAAAAGTGGCAGTAATAAGACTTGCTTCTTATGCGTTCCACGAGTCTGTTCTCTTGAACTCTTTAGACACTTGAACTGCTGGCACCTTTAGCGCACCTTAAATAGAAAGGGGAAGGGTGTAGACAAAGAGGTGTTCTTTAAGCGAACTAATAGCGTGAGAGCAGTGTGAGACTTTCACGCCGATATCGAACCACTCTTTGAAGATCAAGCGAAAATGGGCTTGAAAAGGGCGGGGAACGCAAGCTGCAAGCTCGTCGATAGAGCCCGCAACCGCCACGTTGTCGGCGTTGTATTTGGCGGTAGGTGCCTGGATGGAAACAACGGTGGAAGGCATGGTTGGATTGAGTTAGGCTGCTCCATGGGGTGGGGGCCCCATGGGGTTTTCCTCCCCATTCCCCCCATAGGGTCTTGGCCGATGGGGGACTTTTTTTTTTAAACCCTATGGGGAGGATTTTTTTAAGTCAAATTCCCTACGGAGGATGAGGAAACCCCATAGGTTTAAAGTGGGACAGCTAAAAATAATATATGTAGGGCCGTTAAAAATAAAACAAATTTACGAATATTTACTAATTTTACTTAATCATTATATTTATTTATTATATTTATTAATCACATATATTATACTTTACAATTACATTGCATTATATTATAATAAACTAAAATTACTAAACAAAACTTCTAGTCATGATTTCCCGCAATTTCCTAACCAACGCTATATCCTTGTTTTGAATCGTTACTCGTTTAGCGTGAATAGCACATAAGTTCGTCACTAAAAGTGATTAGTAAATCGATTAGTAAATCGATTAGTAAATCGATTAGTAAATAAATATATAAGTACTTACTTTCAAATTCTCTTACGAAGAATGCCTCTAAAGCTTCTTGTAAACATTCTAAAGCACCGCTTTGAAATTTAAAGTCTTGTTTAAAATCGTAAGTGATCTCTCGAACAAGACGCTAGAAGAGAGTCTTTTTGATAAGAAGCTCGGTGCTTTTTTAGTATCGTCGGATCTCTCTTAACGCAGTAGCTATATAAATCAGTAATTATACTTGAGAATCAATTTATTAATTGATTGAACTTACTTCTTGGCTTGTAGCGACGGCGCTTTCGTTAGCTTAGACCTCCTTTTTTCGCAACAACTGCAGACTTCTTAAGATACTTGCCTTTTTTGGATTTTTAACGAGAAGAAGTTTTAGCTGCCGAAGGTGATTTGCTAGCTGATGGAACGGAGCGAGCAGCTCTAGCCGTCGAAAGTGATTTTTTAGCTTTTTTGTATTGAGAGAAAGGAATATCATTTTCATTTGAGTTTTCTTTATCATCGCTTTGCTCTTCTTCATCTGTATCATTATAAGGCATCGTCCTCGTCGCGGTTTTTATAGCTATAATTGGGCCCGGGACAGTAAGAGACCCTTTAAGAGCTTTTTGCGCGAAAGCTTTTTTAATGCGATTGCTAGTAGAAGCAAAAGAAGGTTCAGCAGCTGCAGAAGAATTGTTTCTAGCACTTAAGTCGTAAGACGGATCTTCGTTTTGAAGCTGAGCTGATGCACTCGCTTAGCTCGTCGATTATTGTATTGCTTTTAAAGCAGTTCTAAAACAATTAGCGAACGAAAGAAAAAGGTTTAAAAAGATTAAACTTACTAAAAGCTATTAGTACTTATGCTAGTATTGTCAAGAACGATACTTTTGTTTATTTCGGATTGAATAGCCGGAGTAAATCTAACTGCGTTTACTAAAGAAAAATTTGATTAGTAAATATTTATTAATTATAAGTCAAAAACATTACCGGATCGAGGTCTAGGAGATGATAAGTGCTAGTCTATATTTGCGCGAGAGTTTGTTGGTATTTGAAGAGCGTCACTTAAAATAATAGAAATTAGCAATTATTAATTAATAAAGTAATTAATACTTACTAGCTTGACCTTAAGAAATTCGGCGAAAAAGGGACGAGGATAAATCGGTTCTTTGTTATAGACTTGCAATACCGCGCGAAGTTTCAGGAATTTCTGTAAATGCTTGTTAGCCATTTGCAATTGATTTACTAATCAATTTACTAATCAAATACTAACCGGATGGCTGTCGAGTTGTAGTAGCGCGGCGCTCAGCAAAAGTGGGGTCTGGCGCATCCGTAACCAATTGAGCTTTGCTAGACTGAAGATAAGGATTTGCGCTAAGCAAAGTAACTGAAAAAGTATTAGTAGTACTCCGATTAATTAAATATAAACTTACTTTGTTCACCTTGCAAATTTAAGTTTTCTTCTTCTACGCTTTCGCCGCGTATTGTATCTGCTTCACCTTTTTGTGCTTCGTCCTTATCTGCTTGACCCTCAGCCGCCTGACCCTCAGCCGCTTGACCCTTAGCCGCCTGACCTTCAGCCGCTTGACCCTTAATCGCTTGATTCTCAATTGCTTTATTAATTAACTTATCTTAGCTTGCGTCATCTCTTTTAGCCGTAGTGCTTAGTATATCGGTAGAGGGAGGTCGGTCCGAAAGCAAAGGTTCGTTTGGTAGAGAGGCTATTTGAAAGTATTAGTAAAGGGACTTGATCGCGATAATCTAGTTTACGATCAGTAAGTTGATAATTTTAAATAAGAAAAGGACGACCTTACAAAGCAATGAATAGCGTTGTATTCAAAGGCGTAGCAAATAGGAAAGCGATAGTTGTAATTGATTACTAGGTAATAGTAGAAAGGAATCAGACTTTACTTTGTAAGGTAAAAATTGCGCGGGGCGGCCGCCTTATCTTAGCTGCGGCCGCCTTATCTTAGCTGCGGCTGCCTTATCACCTCGTGTATTTACTAGCGGCCGCGCTGGGATGTTTTAGAAATAGAATGTACGAGTTCACTTTTAATCCTAACACTTTTATTCTACTACCTTTGATTTTACTTCAAACAATTACTCTTAACGTTTAGCTTCCTTATAATACTATTCAATATGGCCGCTTATCAGCTTGATTCGATAAAAGGTATCATTGCAAATACAGATCAGCCTGATTTAATAGAAGGGATTGAAAAATCTGTAGTAAGAATCATTTTCTTATTTACTAATTTATTTACTAATCAAAAACGTCTTTCTTAGAATGCGGCCGATACGACGGCAATCGTGGCGGCAAGCAATCCGGTGCTAGGAAACCTTGGCAAGCGCAAAGTAAGTATCTTTTTTACGTAGTATTTTAACTTTTATTAATTTATTAATTTTTCTTAAAGAGGAAGGCCAGAAAGAGGCCAATTATCAACCAATCCTTATACGATAAGGGCTAATGCTCGTATAGCAAAGCTAAAACAAGATCCTTAAGCAGATGAGCTTCGAAAAGCTAAAGGACGAGATCAAGCGGCCGTTAATCAGCTTTCTGCAATTTAAAAACAAACCCTAGAATATTCTCAAGCATCAAAAGCTGAAAGGAAAACTCGATAGGCCGAAATGCGAAAGAATCTTATAAATGAACGGTACTTTTTCTTTTTTTTGATTTACTAAGCAATTTACTAATCGATTTTAAAAAGAATCGAAGCATCTACGCGGATAATCTTGCTATGCAAGCCGCTTCTTTTACAACTAGATTCAATGATAAAAAATACTTGAATAGCGATTAGGTTGATAAAGCATTCAATTCAGACGAAGAGATTTATAAGGAATTTAATTTGCGAAAAGACGAAAAAGAAAATAATAATATACCTCGCGATAGATACGTCTCGATTACCGATGAAGAGATAGAGAAGGTCACTCGACAATTAGCACGTTAGCACGCATAAGTAAGCATTTATTTCATTTAAATATTTATATTTTGCTAATAATATAAAGTCACGCTATATAATGACCGTTTAGCAATTTCGTCGCTACTAGTAAAGTATAGCGCGGTCTTTGACAAAGAAGTGCCGAGCTGCTAATTTAAAAAGTGGGGAAGCTTTCCTTAAATTAATAGCTTAGGACTTGGCAAGCACGGTTTTAAAACGAACTAAGTAAGAATTCATTTTATTATGCTTTTAATCAATTGAACTAATATTATAACTTTTAGTCTTTATCCAATCAAGCTTCTTTACGTCTACTTTTCCCTTGATGAAAAGAAGTATTAGCGAGCTAAAATTAGAGCAAATACCGATGAGATTGAATACGAATTGCCGGGTCCAGCCGCTTGGTAGAATATAAAAGGATTCGAAAAGAATACTGAATTTAAAAAAGCTGATTGCGATCTTATTTTATTTCAACGCGTTATGCAATTGATTTGGAAAAAAGACGAGCTAGCTCCGGAGTTGTTTTACGGCGTTAAGGATAGCGATACGGAATTAAGATCATTCCTAAACTCAATGCTTAAGTTTATATAAAATAGAATTCACGATTAATTACAAATTTTGTATTCTACAAAAATACTTTTATTTATCTTATTCATTAATTATATTTATTAATAATACTTATTAATTATATTTACTTATTATATTTGCTAATCATATTTATTAATTATATTTATTAATTATATTTACTAATCATATTTACTAATCATATTTATTAATCATATTTACTAATCATATTTACTAATCACATTTACTAATCGTCGGTTTCTTATGTAACGATACGCTAAGTCTTTTGGACGCACCTTATATGCGCTAAGCTACTTCCTTTATTTTTTCTTTCGTATTCTTCGTATTTTCTCATTCTCCGCTTTTGACCCATGAACTATGGTTTACGAGTCCTTAGCGCTTCTACCTTCGTGTATATAGACCTCAGCTACCTTCGACCTTTATACTCGGTAATTGTTGATTTTAAATTATTACTTTGAGATTCTCTTGAGCTCTTATATGAACCCCCGCGCTCTCGTGAGTTCCTTTAAGTAATCGCTTAAGGTCGTTACATCTTGAAGTTTTGAATCAAAAGAATTGACCGACTTGCTGTATTTAAAATCGATATAAATATATTAATAAATTATTTTAATATTTAGATTTATGAATTATATTTAAAGTTAATCATATATATATTTTATTTAATATAATAACGATTTTAAAACTATTTACATAAACTCATCCATTAATTTATAATAATGAAATTTAAAAGGCCTTCGCAAGCTATCGAATTTATTATTTTCTTTTCTTGCGATACCTCTCTTTTGTATATAAAAAGTCTTTTGCCCGCTAACAATACTAATTCCATGATATCCGTCGTTATGTTCGTTTTTACTGATCCATTCAACAGATAGCTTAATTTTATAGCCGTTATTTAAAAACCGCTTAACTCGATATTCGTTTATTCTAACTAACCAGCCACGATTACGCCCTTCTTCGTCTAGCATTTTTACTGTACACCGAGCGTTTCGACCGTTCGTTCGTCCAATAGAAAGGGAATAATAAGTTTCATTATCTACTTCGGTAAAGATCGAGTTTGGTTGGTTTGCAATCCTTAATAAATTAATAACTTGATTAATATATAGATAATAAAACGGCACTTACAAATAAATCGGCAAGCGTCCGTTAAAATATGAATTTCTTTTATCCATTCTTTAGCTATAATAGATATTCGAGCTTGTAGATATAATTATGAGCTAATACGATTATAAAGTGTTCTATCGTTTTATATAATAAATTTTTAATTAAATGCTTTTATTTTTAATATTTATCAGATTATATTAATTTTATTTACCGCATAGCAGCAGCCGAAAAGAAAGCTGCAAAGATTATATTTAAATTAAGATTTATATAAGCACCTTATCTTTGTATACTAATTAAACCTTAATAAATTTAAGTAAGTACTTGTTATAACGACCTTAAGCGATTATTTAAAAAATTTATAAAAAAGCAAAAAGATTATATAAAGCTTAAAAAGATTATAAAATTATTATTTAAATTTGAAATTAATAATTATCGAAAGTAAAAGTTGAAAAAAACTAAGTGTTAGATTCCTTTTAAGCGATTAAAGAATATATTCGTAACTTCGTAACGGTCGTTAAAGTACTTGCAATTGCAAAACACTCGGTTATAAAAGTATTTGAATTCTAATTGCTCTTTAAAATTCAAAGGAGCTGATTCCTTTTATATAATTAAAAAGAATCACGCGCATTAGCTAACTAATAAGTTTACTAGTTAAGTTAAAAGTCCTTTGACTAGTGTGATATGCTAAGCGAGGCATATTAAGTGGCCCGTAAACTCTTTTAAATACTACTAGCTAGCTAAGGTCGATATAGATATACCGATATTAAAGTCTATATATAAGAAGGTTGTTCGTAATAGTCAATTTAAGTAAAAAGAGCTTAAAAGTATTAAAAGATATAATTATAATTAAGCTTTAATAAAAAGGAAATAAAAAGAAATGAAAAGATAAAAAAAAACCGCTAGTTAAAACTTAACGCTCGCAAAAATGCTGCTTAAAAAAAATTAAGCGTAAGCAAAACCTTTTTTAAAAATAAACTAACTTAATAAAATATATTTAAATTATAAAATAATATTATATAATATTTAAGTATATAAGACGTTAATATATAAGTTCAAATCAACAGTTTAATAGCAAATTCGCTAGAATCTAAACATATCTTTTCAAGCTACTAATTCGTTTTTATCTTAAATTACTTCAATTACTTACGAAGATACCGATTTATTTCAAAGTCAAGAGTTCGAAAGCTTTATAACTAGTTTCTTTAGCTTAGTATTATCAGCAACTATTAAATGTTCTAATTAATATTATATTTAAAACGTTAAAAAGATTAAGACTTTTAATACTTAATAATCATAGACTTTATAGTATTCTTAATAATAAAAGGCTAATTAAAATCTTTTACGAATCGATTAAAATAAAAAGAAAACTTCTTTTATATAAACTAGATTCGTTTAAGCAGTTAAGAAATCAATAAGAGAGCTTATAATATACTATAAAAAGTGCGACCGAGCTTTAAAGCATCCGAAGCTAAAGGCTTTTAAAACGAAAGCATTAGCCGATCATTAAAAAACGGATGTTTGCAAACGCGTTATAAGTAAGCTAAAACAAAAGTTTCGGCAAACTTAATTAAAATTTAAATCTCTTTAACGCAATTTAATACGTTTGTTTTTATTTATAAATTCAATTAATAAATCTAGTAAATTTAATTAATAAATCTGATTAGTAAATCGAATTAGTAAATTTGATTAGTAAATCTAATTAATAAATCTAATTAATAAATCTAATTAATAAATCGGATTAGTAAATCTAATTAATAAATAATAAAACTAATATTTAATAAACACATCTATTACGAAGAACGCTTTCGCATCAAGACTTAAAATCAGTATTTCGAAAAAGTGTTTTAAATGTTATATTATTTACGCGAAGCTCGTTTCGAATAATTAATAATCCGAATTAGAAATCTTTTTACGAATTATAAAACTTATATCTTAAACTTTTTAATGCTTCAACTATTAAGCGAGACCTCGACGATAAGATTTTAAAAATTAATCGCTATTTACTAAACAATTTACTAGCTAATTAA